CCTCTAGCCTGTAACCAATGATTTCGGTCGTCATGGGAGCTGCAATCATGTAGTCTGTATTTCTACACTCAGTTCTTAACAACAGTTAGACAGTACATACATATTTCTCCTTAAATTTAGAGTCTCAGATATTGGATGTGTATTGCTCTAATGAATTTAATGACATTTTATTTTACAAGATGAATAGTTTGTAAACTTCAAGTTTTAATAGGTGACTACTCTTTCTTACTCTCAAACAGCGCACACTAACTCGTCTAACTTTTAGTAGTAGATAGTTCAATTGATACACACTAACGGGGTAGAGATTACTTGACCAGTATATTATATGCACCTTGATAACTCGCCAAATTTCTGTGTTTGGCTCTTTTTGGATTCTCGTAAACAAAAACACTTGAAACTTTTGACTCATCATACTTTATTGTTAAAGAATTTTCAGAATATTCGTTATTCCAGCAGCCTATAAGGACAATGTAATTTTGAGTAAATAGTATAAGGTCTCTTCCACCTGCCTAGGTAGACACTACCGTTTCAACTACAAGCGGTACAAGCACAGATGAGGACATCAAAACCAGGATCGGAAAAGCAAAACAAACCTTCATTAATCTCAAATCAGTGTGGAGATCTACTGCACTCATCTCAGCATGAAGCATGAACAAGATCCGGATTTTCAACATTAATGCCAGTCAAGTCAGTACTTTTATATGGTTCAGAAACTTGGCACCTTACGAAAAGTATTCTCAACAAACTACAAACATACATACATGAACAGCTACTATCTACACTCACTCGATAGTGAAGATGGAGATCAGATGGTCAGAATAATAAGAATAAGCAAGGAGGAACTCTGGTTGGCTGGAAACGAACCAACGAGGCAAGAACCCATCCCCCAACAAATATGTAGAATAAAGTGGAGATGTATTGTATTGTATTGTATTGGGGATAAACTGAGGAGACCATTTGGTGACATCACGCGTCAGGTCAGGCCAGTCTAGGCCGTTGAGTGGAAGCCGCATGGGAAACGACGAGTTGGGCGTCTCAGGTGAGGGTGACATGGAAGAGATGGTGTGAGTAAGAAATGGCAGCTTGTGGGTAGTGGTGGAGCGAGGTTAAATAAAAAGACTGTAGAGAAGAGCAGAGAGTGAAATGGTGATGTGCTGGTGAAGCCTTATGTTTCACTAGGATGCTGTTGTGATGCCCCAGTTTGTATAAAACATTGTTATTGATCCGAACATTTTTAACGTGTCATTCCCACACCATTTTTTACGGTATGACTAATGCTCTATTTTCTGCCCACATTGTAATGTAAATCGCTAATTGGTTAATCTACTCCTATTATGGAAATGTCTCAAATTGGGGGCGAGGTCATTTTCCATGTGTGCACATATTCACGTGTTTTGTGATTGAATTGTTATAATATTCTCGGAGTGATAGACTCTGCCATCTGCCAGCTTAGGTCTTCTCTGTATTCGTCCCAGGGTTGCAGTCAGTGTCTTTTGCTTACCAAGTTAGCTGTCAGCTAAGCGCGCGTATTGTATTCGTTCCGGAATATATATATGTATATATATATATATATATATATATATATATATATATATATATGTATATATAACTGTTAGCCTTCGAAACCATAACAGAACCCAAGGGACAAATAATAATAATAATAATAACAATGCCTGCATTGGTATCAATTTGCATCGGAGATTACAGTGAGTGTATCATGTCTTCATTCTGATAAATAAATCAGTTAACGATGACATTTTGTATACGAGTCAGGGCTGATAGTTTATTTTTTTCGAGAATGCGATCTAAACCACCCCATAAATTAAGTGATCCAAGGGTTAAGCAGTTTGGAAATTTGATAAATTGCATGGTTTATTTTGACATTACTTACAAGTGTAATATCAACTAAGTTCCATCTACATTAGAGATACATGGATGACACTTTCATCATTTGTGAGAAGGATAGTAACGTTGAAGAAATATTGCGGAAGTTCAATGAATGTCATTAATATGGAAAATTGAAAATAACACAGAATTCCACTTGTTGGACATTCTGTTGAGAAGACTTGATGGGTTCCCTAAAGAGATCGATTTACAGAAAACAAACCTGTGGTGGGCAATTTACTCACTTTCAAACCTGGGTTCCACTAGTCAGGAAAAGAAATCATAATTCATTCACTATGCACACGAATTAGAATTTGTACGGATGATGCAGTAAATGAGGAGATGGAAGTAGCTTGATGAGTGTTCATCGAGAATGGTTATCCTTCAAGATTCATTAAGAGGAACATGAAGCGTAGGAATTTCAAAGTAGAGACCCCTTTGGTTGCAAAGAAGACGCTGTTTATGAGTATTGGATTCGGGGGAGATACATTTGTGGGAGATATTGAAGAATTGACTGTGCAAAGCACTGAAGAAGACCTTCTTTTCCGCCCAGTTTCGGACTGTTTTCTCCAGTCAACGACTGGTTCGAGAGTGTGTAAGGGATAAACTGTCGCCTTGGGCCACCTCCATATGTGTCTACTAATTCAACCACCCTTGTGGAGCTGGTTACAATAGGCCTCACAAAGGGTTTCTATCTAAACGCATCTCCTAACACTATCCTGCATAATTGTCTGAAGGACAGTGTCAAGCCGTCAACAGCTCAATTCTTGAGCATTTGGTTAACTCTAGTCACTGTGCTCCACGAGAGTCTTCTTTCAAAGTCATTTATGAAGTGAAGTCAGACATTTCTAAGGGAGTGCGTACTCACCACCTCAACATAGTAGAGGCTTTGGCAATCCAGGGGTACAACACTGATCACCGCGTTCAAAAGAGATGCTTTCAATCTCCAGTTTTCCCTTGTTTGTAATCTCCCCGAGATAGTTTATTCATTTCTTTGTTTGCTTATTATGATTCTATAAGGAGTTTTTGATGACTTCGAGTTGACCTTCTAGCCATTATCACCTTGTGACTTTATTGACCGTTTTTGATGACTATATTTACCCACTAACTACTGATGGATATATATTTTGCCGTAACTATGACTACGATGTGCAGCTTTTGAAAACGATTCGTCAGAAAGGAAATTTTCTTCGCTGAATTGTCTTTCATTAACGAAGTTCCTATTGTAAACCACTCAGATAACATCACAAGGGCATCTTGGAATAACAAGACATATCACTGAGCAACAGAATGAGCTAGCAAACACTTCTGCTGTTGTATCTGTGTGGATCTGTTACAAAACTGGGACGTCACAACACCTCTTTTTAAAAAAAATCAGAAAAAATTCAATAACTGCGCTTTTCGTGATCCAGTTGGAAAAGAAATATGAAACCGCTATAGAACGACTCAAGTCCAGTCTCAGCTCTGATCTCCTGTTAACGCATTATGACCCACAGCTACCAATCGTCGTGGCCGCAGATGCTTCTGCGGCTGGTGTTGGGGCTATCGTATTGCACGAATATCCGGATGGTTCACAAAAAGCCGTCATATACATGCATCTCGATCACTCACGTCAGCAGAAAAACGCTACTCACATATAGAGAAGGAAGGACTTACCTCAGTTTTCGCCGTCAGACGCTTTCACAAGATGTATGGACGGAAATTCGTCTTGTTCATCGATCACAGGCCCCTCTTCTCAATCTTTGGGTCAAAACGCGGTGTTCCAGCTCATTCCGCCAACCGACTTCAACGGTGAGAAGTAACATTATTGTGCTACGATTTCGATATTAAATATCGCCGGACGGAAGACTTGAACATGCAGACGTACTTTCAAGGCGTATAAGTGAGTATCCTACACCTAACGAGAGACACAAGAATCAGATGCGTCACAGGAAAGTTAATCAACTAGAGAATCCAAACATACCACTCGATATTCTGCTGGATACGTTTAATTTACTAACGGCGATGAAAAACCCCAAACCCAACAAGGAACTCCTACCCAGAAAATGTACGGATCCGAAGTGGTATCTAACAGTTCGTTCCCAACTGCATTCCAAAACGCGAAGGTATTGAATTTTTTGCTCATTTTTTTTCAAAAAGGAAGTGTATTGTGATGCCCCAATTCTGTGTCATTGTTATTGATCTGGACATTTTAACGTGTCATTCACACACCATTTTTTACGGTATGACTAATGCTCTATTTTCTGCCCACATTGTAATGTAAGTCGCTAATTGGTTAATCTACTCCTATTATGGAAATGTCTCAAATTGGGGGCAAGGTCATTTTCCATGTGTGCACATATTCACGTGTTTTGTGATTGAATTATGATATTCTCGAAGTAATGAACTGTCCCATGATTATTAAAACTTGAAATCAATAAGAATGTTTGATACAAAAGTGGGGCATCACAAGAGGATCGTACTACTTATTATTAATTTATCAGTAGTTTTTCCATTTTGTTGTGAGTCAACTCAATCGGTTTGAGCAGCTTGTCTGTGTCTGAACACACACTGTTGATAAGCTAGGCACCAAACAAACGAAATGATCGTTCGCTGGTCATAATCTTTCGCATTTGCTTAACAAAAACTGTAAGCGTGGAAGGTTCGTAAGTAATCCCAACAACGAGGTGTATTGTATTAAATGTTAGGTTGTTGTCGGGAATTATCTTTCTTAGATACAAGTAGCGCTATACTGTATTTGAAGATGTTTCATTTGGATTATTCCCTTCAAAATCTACTACTTAGAAAATTACGCTATATCTATGGATCAGTTGTTAAATGACCAATGTTTGTCATAATTTGAACCAATTATCACCGATCAAAATTTACCGAAGAATTGTAAGCTACCTCCCAGAACAATTTCATATTTAATAATACCGTGTTACAATTTCCTGCAATCACCGAACATGTGCTAACATTTTTAACCAGTAATAATTGATAAGTTTTCTCTCGCTTTACCATGATTTTGCCATGGGACCAACTGACTAATTAATTTAGTGCTTATTATTAATCATATATAGTTTGAGTATTGTTTTGAGTTCACTGTGTTGTATATTCCTTTTTTTGTTACTTCATAGATTGAAGGACTTGATATAACATTAATTGAAAATCCTCAGGATTATCCAACTGTTGTACATGGAACATACTTTCGTAATTGGGATTCAATACGTAAAGAAGGCTTAAAACGTATGGGGCGAACGCATATACATTTTGCTCCTGGAGAAGTCGGTGAATCCGGTGTTATTAGTGGTATGAGAGCAAGTGCTGAAATTGTCATATATATTGATATGATGAAGGCAGTCAAAGATGGTTATAAATTCTACATTTCAAAGAACAGTGTTATTCTTTGTGAAGGGAATAGTGAAGGTTGTCTACCAACAAAGTACTTTCTTGCTGCTTATCAGCGTCGACCACGTGAGTAAAGTAAATTGCTTAGTGAATAACTGCATTGTTCTCCTTGTATGAATGTTGTACATACTTCAATGGAGATTAGAGTGATGAACGTGTCAGGATAAAATGTTGACAATGTACAGATGTAGTTTTTGTGCTTTGTTCAACTAATTCTTTTCTATAATAGGTGAAGCATTAGATGAACGCTTTATGTATCTACGATACCTTTGTTTTATTAGTGAAAACTACAGATACATACGCACACACACACACACAAGAGGTAAAATCTTTTAAGTAGTATAATGATGTGACACGCTAACGAATATTTAACGGGGCAGTATATTTATTACTTGACAAGAACATGAATTCGTCTGTCTCTCGGTCGATCCACTTCCCTCACTACTTATAGTGTATATATATTATTTCGTGGAACTATTCAAACTAGTCTCTAGACCACCTTTAACTTGCTACAGAACAGTACCGGTTGATGTGATTAGTGTTTAATAAATCGTTTTATTCTGTAGAATATGTTATTTAGTAATGAGATTGTTCATATTTTTTTACTGTATACTCTACCATTGACTTTAAAGGCCATCAAAGCAACAACTGAAATAACCAATTAAACTTCTACATTTTGTGAAAATCTGCGTTTCTAGCCCAAATTATTATTATTATTTTCCCGTTGGGTTCCTAGTGGAACATAAGGCTTCACTAGCACACTTCCATTGCATCCTCTTCTCTGCAGTCTTTTCAACCTGTCGCCACTACTCCCCACAAGCTTTCATTTCTTCCTCAAACCATCTCCTCCATGTCACCCTCAGCTGGGACGACCGACTCTTTGTTTCCCCTTTGGATTCCACTCAAAGGCCCGGCGCGTGATGTTCTCAGTTGGTCTTCTCGGCACATGCCCAATCCGTCTCCGCTTTCTTCTGCATGTCTGTTGGGTGATAGGTTCTTGGTTGGTTCGTTGCCAGACTTCCTTGTTGCTTATTCTTGTTATTCTGGCCATCTGATCTTCAGCATCGAGCAAGCGTAGGCAGCTGTTGATGAATATCTGTAGTTTGTTAGAAATACTTTTCGTAACACGCCAAGTTTCTGAACCATATAGAAGGATTGACTTGACATTGGCGTTGAAGATCAGCATCTTGTTCTTTGTGGTGAGTGCAGAAGATCTGCACAGTGATTTCAGATTGATGAAGGAAGGCCTGTTTTGCTGTATTTCCGACCCTGGTTTGTGCTTGTGCCGCCTGTGGTTGAAACAATGCTGCCTGCCTAGGTAGGTGAGAGATACTACTTCCTTTAAGTTTCTCTCGTTGATGGTGATTGGGCCTCTTGTTGTTGATGCTGTTGTTGGTTGGGAATCTTCATCACCTCCGTCTTCTCTGCTTTCACTTGGAGTCCCGTTTTCGCTGCACTGCATCTTTTGTCAGCTTGTTACTTTTCACCTGTAGATCTCCCACGTTGTGTGACAAGACATTCGACATAAATCATCATGATAGGCGAAATCCAAATCTTCTAGGGTGTTTTCATGGGTTTAGCCAGCGTATCCCGTATTCTCGCTCCTCACTGTTTGCTGCATGATCCAGTCCAGTCCACACAATCAGGAAGATCATGGGTGATAATAGGCGGCAACCTTGTCTTGTCTTGTCTTGTCTTCTCTTACTCCTGAATTCTCTTCACTTCAAAGACATCATTGAACCTTCCATTGTGAATCACTTGGCGTGTAGCGTCATGTAGCATATACCTGATGTTGAATGAGGTTGATAGAGGTTTGTGTCACTGAAACCGTAGTGTTGAAGCAGCAGCTGCCAACTTACTTGTCGGTCGACGCTGTCGGAGGTCTTTTCAAAGTGGATGAAGTTGAGGTAGAGTTGAGTTGACTTCCATTCTATGCTCTGTCTATGATGATACACAGCGTAGAGTATTCTTGCAATTTGGTGCACACATAATTTTTTCTTCCTGAAGTCAGCCGGCCAGCCAGTCAGTCTGTTTTGGTCGTAATTTTGAAACTAGAGCATTCTTTAGTCCCTCCAGGATGATGTGGTTTGATATTTTCCTTGGGGGGAACAGGAGCATGATTCCGCTTCAGTTCTTGCAAAGTTTTAGGTCTCCCTTCTTTGGGATTTCGACAAGGTAGCCCTTCTTCCAATCTCTGTAGGTACCTTCCCGAATAAAAATACAGACCTATGATAAATCCATTTTAACTTTTTCGTTTCCAAACTTGATAACACTGAATACCACTAAGTGAGTAGTTCTACCAAAAGGCTGTTGCAGATGGAAAAAATTATAATTTACTTGTTATTGTGTAGACTACATGAATTACTGAAGAGATGAAATCCACAGACACTTAGTTTTCAATTCAGGTAGAGAATACTACTGAAATACTACTTAAGAGAAACCCTATGAAGTTTGTTACGAAATTAGTTGACGTAAGAAGTACTCGAACTACTTACTTCGTTAAGGCATAGCATTGTGACCTATGGTCTTATGCTGTCAAACTTCTAGGGCTGTAGTAGGTAAACATTCTTCTCACAAAAAAAAATTTCAACTATTTTAGAGTTATCTTGTAAAAATATTTGCCAGTCAGTGAAATCCATGATATCTCTCTCTAAGTTCACTTGCTAGGTTAGTACTATATGTGACTTTGAAAGTCACCCTAGCAGCAATCGAAATAATCGATTAGTTCATTTCATTTAGGCTGAAAAGGCAGATTTGATAGAGAAGTCTGCTTAGTTATTTCACTTGTTGTTAGGGTGACCTTTAAAGTCACTCAGCATTACATATTCTCATGTTTTGAAATTGATGTAACCGTAGGATGTTTTGAATTATTCGTATAATTTATTAAAAGTATTTCACCAATAGTAGTTCAACAGCCACTTTTTTCTGTTGGTATGGAAGGCAGGATTGACCCAATAGTGTGACATCAAGTCCCTATATTACTAAGCTACAACTCCACATTTTTTTGTGATAATACTAATATATTTTTCAGTTTTTGTGGCTTTATCTGGCAGTTTTGCTAAACCATTGTCTGGATTCCAGGGGATATTCACTTACAAAGGCTCATCTGCTCCCAAATTGTGACTACTTGCTGCAGATTTTTTATTGGAAGTCTGTTATTCATGAGTTCGAAACCTGCTTCTTCATCGGAAGTTTAAGTAGCTATATGGCACCCCTTGCTATCAGAGTAGCTTTTATTCAACTTTCCATTTTAACCTTTCATTTATTTAGAACAAAATTCATTACTGATGCCTTGTATAGACACGAGAATATAAAGTTTGTGCCGAGTTGTAGACTGTGTAAACTACACTATTCTTCACAAACATACTTGATGTGATAAAGCATTTGAACAGTAATGAGAATCCTGAAATAAACCAGAACTTCAACATCATATTAAACATATAGTGACCATATCGTTTCTATGATAATTGATGTAATGGAGATATTATGTAGAGCTAAAAAATTTTGAATGAACTTAACGCATTTTTTGTATATCAGATAGACTCATCTTGATGAAACAAATTCTTGTCTTCTAAGAGTGATGACTTAAAATAGGAATTAAGTTGTGAGTCTGAAATATCAAACTCTAGATTACCACTATAACACTGTTCAGTTACCTGTGACAATTAAACTTGTTAACTGCATCCTAACTAACTGTTTTGTTTCTGTTTTTACTATGTGTTCTGTGAAAATAATTGAAAATCAAAACTTCAATGAATTGGATTTATGTTTTCTAAAGCATCACATGAACACTTACCTTGGCGAACATATCTTTGTTTATTGATTTGAGTGATAGTAGTAGTAGTAGCAGTAGTGATAATAACAAATTTAATTTGCATTTAGTGTTGTGTATATAGATCATGTGCTATGCTGAATATTAAGTTTTATGTAGGTTATCAGTATATGTTAGCGCATAATAAAATAGCATAGATGGTGTGTAATAATATCATCGTTCAATTTAGAGGTTTGTGGGGATTTCAGATTGGCATTCATCATGGACTGATACCAGTTGGAGAAACATTGGAAACCTGAGAGCACTGGACAGCTGTTTCTTCTTGGCATAGGACTCTTCATCAGTGCGCACTCATCATCTTGTCCCAGCGGGGGTCGAACCCAGGATCTTCAGGTTCCTTGGTCAACACGTTACCACTGAGCCATTGGTATTAATCTAGTACTTATTGGTGACTAGGTTTGGGAGTTGATTGCCAAAGTTCCAATGAGAAATCGTGACCGGTTGGGCTAACGAAGTTGAACATGAGGACAACTACTCAACGACGCCATTAGATGGAGGTCGCGCTATATTTTAAACTGACAGAAATTGGAAATATGGACCATTGGATTACGACTTAGTGGCTCAAGCGTAAAGTGCTGGTCTCAGAACCTGAAGGCCCTGAGTTCTCACTGCTGAGGACCACCATAATAGGACAAAACGGCCGTCCAGTGCTCCCAGGTTTCCAGTGTTTCTCCAACTGATGTCAGTCCATGATGAATGCTAAACTGAAGTCAATATGATCTTTAGCTGTTATAATCTGTTATTTGTCGAATTCAAATGTGCAGCAGGGAAAATGTTATTTTCTTCTCATGGAAAACTCATTATCTTATTACTATTTGATTTTTTAGATTAAAACATTATCGTTACTTCGATTTACACTGAATTCACCTACATCCTTATTACTAAGTGTACACTAATTGTCATATTTGTTGAATAGCGAGCGCCATTGTGTGTGAAATCTGATATTCTTGATCACAGGTTCACTCATTGTACAATAGATATGGTCACCGATGTTCTTATATCATCCTAGTAATCATTGTAAACAGAACATTAGAGATTTAAAAAATTTCGGATTCTTTTACAGTTTGAGGGAATTGTTTTTACCATAAAAGGATCATAGACTTACAGAAATATCTTACTAGTGAACTTCCAAAGGAGATCGTTTCGTAACCCATCTGAAATTGATGCGTCAACTGCATTCGCTCACAAACTTTAGTCTGGCAGGAATGTGGTTCATTGGCTTGAATAACCACCA